TAGTATTTTTAGTTTGCTGTAATCCAAAGTGTCTGAATGCTGATGGTACCCACTTTGAGCATCGCTTGTAATTGCAAAAGTCAAATGTGACTTGTATTCATCTTTTGTTATAGATATATACTGAGTATTATAATTTTAATACAGTTTTTTACTTTCTTAAAATTAGTTTACATTTTTTTAAGCACCCTTTGTATATTTTTTAGGTTTTAAGGACAGAAAAACAGCCAGGTACCGTGGCTCATGTCTGTAATCCCAGCATTTTGGGAGACAGAGACAAGAGGATTGCCTGAGCGTAGGGTTTCAAGACCAGCCTAGTCTCTACATTAAATTTTTATTTTATTTTATTTTATTTATTTATTTTTTTTTTTGAGTTGGAGCCTCACTCTGTCGCCCAGACTGGAGTGCAGTGGCCGCTTCTGGCCACTGCAACCTCAACCTGCTGGGCTCCGGCAATCCTTCCGGCTCAGCCTTCCAAGTTGCCGGAATTACAGGCGTGTGCTACCACACCCAGCTGATTTTTTTTTTTTATTTATTGTAGAGATGAGGTCTCGCTGCCCAGGCGAGTCTCGAACCTGCGGACTCAGGCAATCCACTCACCTCAGCCTCCCAAAGGCACGGGATTACAGGCTGAGCCACCGAGCCCGCCTTACATTAAATTTTTAAAGATTAGCCATGTGTGGTGGCGCATGCCTATCGTTCCAGCTACTTGGAAGGCTGAGGTGGATGGGTCATCTGAACCCAGCAGGTTGAGGCTGCAGTGGCCGTGAGCATGCCACTGCATTCCAGCCTGGGTGATAGAGTGAGACTCAGACTCAAAAAAAAAAAAAAAAAAGAAAAACAAAAACCCTTTTGTTTGTGCATATATAATTGCAATAGTGTATAGTAAAAGTCATGTCTGTTTCTCAGGTATGTGTTTATTAGTCTAATAATTTTTTCAAATAAAGCTTTTTTTTTTTTTTTGCTTTTTATCTAGGCTTGACTCCACACACAAGACTCTTGAAAACTGGAAATAAATAATATGACTTCATATTCATTTTAACTAAAGATAGAATCTTCAGTATGTCATCCTAGTTTATAGAATTTCTTTTCTGATGTAACTAAAACTTAAATTAGTTTCTAGCACTTAAGTTCCATAGCATTAGCTATTATGGATGTTACTATGAAGTAGATTCTCTGTGGAAAACCAGTGAACTCTAATATAATACAAATCACCTGTCCTTGTCTTACATCTTGAAGTCTAATCCAAAGAATACTCTTAATTGCCAGAAAGAAAGAAACCTAAATAAATCTGGATTCTTTTCTTAATTTTGGTCTATTTCCCAAAGTTGTTTTTGTTTTTCTGTTGGGATTTTCCTATTTTTAAGCAATATTGGTTTAATGTGATTTTTTTTTAAGTACTGTTTTACACCTTTCAAATGAGTAGCCACTGCTTTCCTTTCCTTTTATATCTACATGGCATTCTCCATCCTTAATTAAACCTGCTTCCACCACAGGCAGCCCATTTTTCTTTTGTCCTCTCCTTGCACACCCTATATCTCTGCTACCACCACCCAAAAAAGTGAGGTGAGTGGACTTTGTAGAGAAACTGGGAACAATTTTTTTTCCTGTTTCTACATAATTTTCTATAGTGTTTTCTTCCCTTTGTGGCCAAATAATCTTTCCTCCTCCTTTGCTAGATGTACTAATTTAGTAATCTTATGCCTGTTAGTCTGAAGATATTTTAATGGTGACTTTTTGTACATTTGCTGTCTCATTGGGATAGATTCTTTTTTTATTACCTACGTGTGACTTCAGGTCTTGCCTCTACCCACTTAATATTCTTTGTAATATTAATCTTTAATATTAGAAGATTGTGTGTAGTTATCCAAAGTTTTGGTTGCAGCTCTGAGGAGGATTTCTGCTGTATTTCTGCTGTAGAGTATTGTGGATGCTGTGTATCAGCTCTTAGAGTCTGACTGCTAGCCATTTGAGCTGTTGGACTATCTGGGAATGATCTTGAAATATAGAAAATAAGACATCCTGCCCAGTTTTTACAGTCAGGTGAAGGTTATCATACCTTTGTGTTGGGGACCCCTCAGCATTTGGATTGGGCCATGTCCTGCAGGACCTGATGACAGCTTACCTTGCAGGAAGGAGAGTCGCTCCCAGATAGCCCTCACGAGTGGCCCTGGAGCAGGAAGTGGTGGAGCAGATCTTCCTTGTTTGGGAGGAGCCTGAGGTGGACCTCGCGTCCTGAGTCTGGAAGGTAAATTTGTTGTTACCTGTAAACTATGGTTCTGCTGGTTCATGCTGTGCCAATCCAGACTTTCAGAGGTGTCCCTCCTGCCAGCAAGAGAAGACAGATGACTTGGATGAAGATGGCTGTCAAGCCCTGGGTCATTTGGTCTTCCACACTTAAGAATATTCATTTTAAACAAAAGGGCAGACACATCTATGGAATTACCTTCTTATTTCAACACGTTGAGCACATACTACGCTGCGACTGTGGTGCTCTTTCTTGTTGATGTTTTTGTTTCTTCGATTTTTTCTTAGAGTGAACTATATGGATTGGTTTAAGAGGGCCTAGCAGAACCACAACCTTACAGGCAAGAACAAATGTCACTTTCTGCTACTTTCTCCTATACCAATCCAGACTGTAGAGAGACCAAAACATAGTATCCCCCACCAAAATGAAAATTATCAACTTTATTTTTTAAACAAGCATATTGATACTTTGTTTTCTTTAATAAAATGCAATTTAAAGTTATTTTCCTCAAACAAATGTTAGGGTTTTAAAAAAAATAAGTCAGTATGACAAACTGTCACATCTAGCTCAAAAGGGAGTCCTATATGCCAAACTCATTTTTATGTCAAACTCACTTAGCATTGTGCCCCAACTTGTCAGTATAACCATGCTTTCTCCTCAATGAAAAATAAACCCATTGCACAGATTTGGCAACAAAACAAAAAGGGATGGATACTGTACCTTAATTTAATGCAATTTAACTGCATCTATCTAGTCTAATTGGTTTATCCTCACAGAAATGAATACGTGGTCTTTGTGTTGATGTATGTTAGCTTAATCTGTGTTACCTGTCTTCGTTCCATCCTCTCCTTTTCTGATCGTATCTGCTGGCAATAGGGATGGCCCTATAGTCTAGAATGATAGAGGGAGAGATAGCAGAACCTGAAGAGTCCAGTCTTACCATTTGTAAAAGAAGAAAGAAGTTGTCATAATGAATATATTAATTTTTGCATACCTGGGGGAGATAGTTATGTGTGCCATTCCAGAAACCCAGATAGTTGAGAAAAGCCTTGTCTCCAAGTTACTGAGTTTTATACATCATTGCTTACTACTTAAAGCAGTTAGCCATTAATGGATTATTTGATTTCTAGACTTACTCGAGTTCAGTATTTGCCATTCTCTTCCTCTGCATTAGAAGTTTCACATACTATTGAGAGGATAGGGGTTGAATATAGTTTTAGGCTAATCCTCCTGCTGGGTTAGCATCTACCAAAGTATGAGGGGGCTTACATGGAAGATGTTTGCATGATGTTCAAATCAGCTAGTTTGTGTAACTCTTAGATGTCTTTGCTCATCTTTGAGCTTTGAGACTATTTTGTTTTTTCTTGATTTGTTCATATTGTCAGGTCTTTTGTAACCACGTGTAATTCTTTTCTTTATGATCAAGTTTCTAAATTATATTTAATGAGGAGCTGATTATCCAGGGCAACAAAGATTGTTTCATATCATCAGCATTTGCATTCCTAAATTCACTTATTTGATTTAATTTCCCATTGCATAAGCTTCACACAATTGTAAATTGCCTTAAGTTGTAAGAATTAAAATATAATGGAATTTATAATTTGGAAACACATGTTCAATTTTGGAAAATCCCTTGGTGACACTCATTGAATTGGTTTGCTGAGTCTCCATCTTAACACATTTGGTGTGCAGGCTAGTAATTACCAGCTCTCACATTCTAGGTTTTCTCTTTATAGTAATTGCTGCATTAGAAATTTTGAAATAATAAATTATTTAACAATTTACCATGATATTCATCTCCAAAAACCCAACTCCAACTTCTTAATAACATTACCAATGCGTTTCCCTCGTGTCCAACTTAATAGACATATGTGTATTCTATGAATATAACTTAAATTGAAAATATGGATAGCTACATTTTGTTTCTCTTATTCATGTTGTTGGAAACCATGTTGCTGCTTTGAATGATTTTTCTTTCTGCTTTTTGGTCAGATCATTTAAAACTGTAGATTAGGGTTAAATGCTTTCATTCAGTACATATTAAAAGTAATAAGGTTCTTAAATCAGCTTTATCCTATGAAATCGTCTATCAAGTTTGTAATCCAACTTTTAGAAAGATTGTTGTTTAAGTCTTATATTAGGATAGTATTGAATTTTGAAGTCAACATGGATCTTTACCAGTATATGTGAAGTAATTCTCTCTTCATATTGAGTTTAACCCCGACACTGGTTTTTTCCAAATAGAATTCTGTGTAAGGGGGAATTACAGTTATATTTATAGACAAAAATGAATGGATTTAAATGACATTTTTAGCTTAATATTCCCTTTATTGATGGTAATGCTTAATGTTGAATGCTGTTTTGGCTTTAAAAAGACAGTAATTTAAGGATCTTCATGTGTGACAGGCACCCATGGGAACCTGCTGGGGTGACATCTCAGAAAATGTGAGAGTAGAAGTTCCCAATACAGACTGCAGCCTACCTACCAAAGTCTTCTGGATTGCTGGAATTGTGAAATTAGCAGGTAAAAAGCATGAATAATAATTTGATGGAAATGCCAGTGATACTTATAACCTTCTGTATTGCCAAATAATATGTTATAATATAGGGCAGTGGGTAGCCTATTTTTTTCTGTGAAAAGTTAGACAATAAATATGTTCAGCTTCGCAGGCCATGTCATCTCTGTCACAACCACTCAGCTCTGTAACATGAAAGCAGCCATAGCAGTACATACATGAGCATGGCTGTGTTCTAGTACAACATGATTTATGGGAAATTTGAATTTATATCGTTGTTACATATCATGAAATATTATTCTTCCTTTGTTTTTCTTTTTTTTTTCCCCACTGCCCCTCCCCTCCTCTGATTTTTCAACTACTTAAAAATGTAAAAACCGACTGGGTACAATGGCTAACACCTATAATCCCAGTGCTTTGGGAGTCTGAGGCATAAGGATTTCTTGAACCCAGGAGTTGGAGATCAACATAGGCAACATAGCAAGACCTTGTCTCTTCAAAAAAAAATTTAAAAGTTAGGCAGGTGTGGTGGCACATGCCTGTAGTCCCAGCTACTCGGGAGGCTGAAGTGGAGAAATTGCTTAAGTCCAGGAGGTCAAGGCTTTGGTGTGCCATGGTAGTTCCACTCCAACTTGGGCAACAGAGGCTCAAAAACACAAAAAAAGTAAAAACCGATCTTAGATCACAGGCCATAAAAATGTGTTAAGGATCTTTTCTTTTTTTTTTTTTTTTTTTTTTTGAGTTGGAGTCTCACTCTCACCCAAGCTGAAGGGTAGTGGCACACTCCCAGCCACTGCAGCCTCAGCCTGCTGGGCTCAGGCATCTTTCCGCCTCAGCCTTCCAAGTAGCTGGAACTACAGGCACACCCAGCTAATTTTTTTTATTTATTGTAGAGATGAAGTCTTGCCAAGTTGCCTGGGCTGGTCTCAAACCTGTGGGCTCAGGCCATCCTCTCACCTCGGCCTCCCAAAGTGTTGGGATTACAGACGTGAGCCACTGCACCCAGCCTGGGACCTTTTCTATGTTAGGCAGTGTGGATAAGTGATGTACAGAAGTATTAGACTTACTCTTTTCAGCATGCTCACACCTGCCAAATTTAACAATTTATCCTGAATCCTGCCAGGCATATGACAAGATACTCAGCTAGTGCAGTAGTAGGCACTGTAGTACCACAGAGGAGGGACAGGCAGCCACTTGGATGAGAAAAGCTGTCCGTAGATTGCCACTACAAGAGCTGTCTAACTCATCTCTCTCTCTAATCTTACCTCCAGCCTCCTCAGAACACTGTATACCGCTGTACTATGTACTGCAAATAGACTTACTTTACCTAGAAGTTGTATTAATTTTCTTTTGTTGTTCAAACATCGTTAATGGCTTCTGTGTACTGAAAGCACCAAGGATAGATAGCCTTTACAACTATTGATGAGTTGTACCATGTACCACTTGCCAAATTTGTTGTTCCTCCCCAGTGTAAATAATCTATTCTGATGAAGCTAGTCTGCCTCTCTCCTTCATACAGCATGTTCTTTGTTCATGCTTGCCAGAGTGTCCTATCTGTACTTACCTGTATTAACCAGTTCAATCCCCCATCTTTTCCTTGTCACGTTTCCCTAGCCATATCACTTCTATTACTCTCTGAACTATAATTTTGTTTTTCTTTTTTATTTATTTATCTATTTATTTATTTATTTATTTATTTATTTATTTATTTATTTATTTTTTGAGTTGGTGTTTCTGTTGCCCAGACTGGAGTGCAGTGGCACACTCCCGACCGCCGCAACCTCATCCTGCTGGGCTCGGGCGATCCTTCTGCCTCAGCCTTCCAAGTAGCCAGAACTACAGGCACGTGCTGCCACGCCTGGCTCATTTTTGATTTATTGTAGAGATGAGGTCTCACCAAGTTGCCCAGGCAGATCTTGAACCCGCGGGCTCAGGCAGTCCACTCACCTCAGTCTCCCAAAGTGCTGGGATTACAGGTTGAGCCACCAAGCCCGGCCCTCTGAACTATAATTTAAAACAACATTGCTTCTGGCCTACGTGAAAGTCAGTTACATTTAAATAGCTCTGGCCAGGCACGGCGGCTCAAGCTTGTTATCCCAGCACTTTGGGAGACCGAGGCAAGAGGATTGCTTGAGCCTGCAGATTCGAAACCAGCCTGGCAACATGGTGAGACCTCATCTCTACAATAAATCAAAAAATTAGCCAGGTGTGGTAGCACGCATCTGTAGTTCCTGCTACTTGAAAGGCGGAAGCAGAAGGATTGCCTGAGCCCGGCAGGTCAATGATGGGGTGGCTGCGAGCATGGCACTGCACTCCAGCTTGGGCGATGGAGTGAGACTCCAACTCAATAAATATATAAATAAATAGCTCTAAAGATCAATGTATTTAATATCCAAGAATTGCTTCTGCTTTCCATCTCTAATTTTGCATTTCTGTTTTATCTAATTGCATCATAAATCTTCTTTTAAGCCACTTTAATGCCATTGTAGAAGTGAGCCTGATGTTAATCATAAATTAGAGTTCAGCAGTAATCAGTAAGCTCATAAATTGTTGTATGAATTATCAGATTTTAAAACTGGAAGGTTTAATGCTATAAATTTCCATCATAGATATTAACACATGAAAATGCTGACTGCACTTAGCTTCTAGCCTGAAATAAACGTTTATGGGCTTTTTTTTTTTATTACATTAAAGGCCTTAAATTAAACCTTAATCTGTTATCAACATAAGGTTTATTAAATTATAAACAGGATATGATATATATATATTTGTTCTTTGCAGGAAATAAGGCTTCCTATTTGCCTAAGACATACAGTTTTTAAGTGATTTTTCATAATTTTATTTGTGTTTATTGAATTTATAAACTGGCATTTGCAAATCTTATTTCCAAATAAGTAGGACAAAAATGTAGGGTTTTTTGGGGTTTTTTTTAAATCAGAGTCTTACTCTGCCACCCAGGCTGGAGCACAGTGGCACACTTGCAGCCACCGCAGCCTCGACCTACCAGACTCAGGTGATTCTTCTGCCTCAGCTGTCCAGGTTAGCTAGAACCACAGGCGTGCGCCACCATACCCGGCTAATTTTTATTTATTGTAGAGATGAGGTCTTGCCAAGTTGCCCAGGCTGGTCTCAAAACCCTAGGCTCAGGGAATCCTCTTGCCTTCACCTCCCAAAGTGCTGGGATTACAGGCGTAAGCCACTGCACCCAGCCCAAAAATGTAAATTCTTGAAGTAGCCACATTCAAATAATCCAAGAGTAATTGACTACCTACTGGGTAAAGCGGTTCTTTTGAAATAAACTTCAACTGGATATCTGTGACTAGACAGGGTATTAATACCTTATTGCAACCTTTTATTTTCAAAATGATGCATTCTAGTGGGATTATTCCACCCTTGTTTTCAAGAGAATTTTTTTTTTTTGAGAATCTTTTTTCCTAAAAAAAATTTTCTAGAGAAATTATGGATTATTTTGAAATACATTCAAGGAAGGGAACCCATTCTCTGAAAATAGTTGAACATTTTGCTTTGAACAAATAGTTCTCAAAGTTTGGTCCATAGACCAGTAGCAGCTTGGGAACTTGGTAAAAATGCACATTCTCAGGCCTACCCAAGATCTACTAAATCAGAGTCTCTAGTGGGGCCTAGCCATCTGTCTGTTAACAAACCCTGCAAATGATTCTGTTGCAGATGCACACTAAAATTTGATAACTAATGACAGATGCAGTATTGTTTTATTTCATTGTATTTTCTTACTATATAGTGATTGGTTTGTTGGTTTCAGGTTACAATGCTCTGTTAAGGTATGAAGGATTTGAAAATGATTCTGGTCTGGACTTCTGGTGCAATATATGTGGTTCTGATATCCATCCAGTTGGTTGGTGTGCAGCCAGTGGAAAACCTCTTGTTCCTCCTAGAAGTAAGTAGCTTATTTGCCCTTACTGTAATTTTTTTAGTCTGAATCTCACTGTTGCCCAGGCTAGAGTGCAGTGCCATGCTCATGGCCACCTCAGCCTTCCAAGTAGCTGGAACTATAGGTGCATGCCACCACACTCAGCTAATTTTTTGATTTATTATAGAGACAAGGTCTCACCAAGTTGCCCAGGCTGGTCTTACACCCTGGCCTTAGGCAATCCTCTCGCCTCCACCTCCCAAAGTGCTGGGATTACAAGCTTGAGCCATCATGCCAAGCTCTTTTTAGAACTCTAACATAAAGGAAAATTTGTTACCATCTTGTACCATTTTAGCAAATAACTTATGAAGTCTTGTTTTTTTTTTTTTGCTAAAGTGTAACTGGTTATTTCTTTTT